CCAGAAAAATTTAATTGTCAGAAATAATGAACTACAAGAATTTGCTCAAACTGTAAAGAATCCTATTGGCGTCAAAACTAAAAGTAGAAAAAGTAAGAGGATTAAGGCCTTTAATGATACAATGAACATGCTGAATAGCGAGAAAAGAAAAGATAAGATAGCTTGAGTTAGAAGTATTAGAGTGGCGACATATAATATGTTTTGTGTTTTACTTGATTATATAATTGACAGAGTCAAGAGATTATACAAGTGATATGGAAGATGAAGCTAGTACAAGCAGGAAAAAATGTGGAGTCTGTGGTTTAAGAGGTCATAATATATGAACATGTCCAACTTTGGTAAAATGTGAAGTAGAATCTGTAAATGATACAGAAGCTAGCACGAGCAAAAGAAAATGTGGGACTTGTAGACTTGGAGACCATAATGCACGTACTTGGCCAGGTCAAGTCAATATTGAATGTGATATATAGGTATGTTTAACTATCTCTGAAGTTTGGTATTCTAGAGAAATTAAATAAACATTCAAATGTAAAAATTCTTATACTGCCGATTAACTAGATCCTAATTCAAAGTATCGCATTACTTTAAATAAACATTCAAAAAAAAATTTTGACTACCGATTAACTAGATCCTTATTCTAAGTATTGCATTACTTTAAATAAACATTCAAAAAAAAAAATTTGTAACCTTTTTAGTTCTATTTATAGCCATTTCTTTTATTTAATATCGTATAAGGTTAGAGTTAGTCTTCGTGATACTATATCAAGTAAATTGGTTATTATAGTTGGCTAGTCTTATTTATATTATTGCACTAGAAATTTATTTTATTCTACTCTAATTACTATTTATTATTTGAATACTGTATTATATATATATATATATAATACAGTATATATATACGTAATATATATACGTATATAGTATATTATTTATATAATACAATCTATAAATCACGTGATTTCCGAAACTGGTGCTGGCACCAGTGGTATGATTTAGTAAAACCGTATTTTCATCTATATTTAATTTTAATTCTATAAAGTTTAGATTTTTTTCTTATATTTGTTCTCTCTTGTCTAATCTAGTCTAGTGATTTTAGATTCATAAATCTACAGTCTTTAATTCATAGCCAATATTAATTTGATTAATATTCTCTTTTCTTTTTCATTATTACTCTAGATTTTAAATCATTATATTTACCTACTCATTCTCTATATCATTTATATATATAATATTATTTCTGATAAGTATATTTATTATATTCAATTTATGTATTTATTTAACATATATATTATTCGTTTTTTATGCTAATATACTTAGATTTATATATATTATTTTAGATTAATTATCTTGGATTCGTATTTATTCTTTCTAGTCTAATGGTCTTGGATTCGTATTCGTTCTATCTAGTCTAGTGGTATTAAAGTCGTATTCATGTTTTTCTAGTCTAGTGGTATTGAAGTCGTATTTGTGTTTTTCTAGTCTAGTAGTATTGGAGTCGTATTTATGCTATCTAGTGTAGTGGTATTGGAGTCATATTCGTGT